CTCAACTTTCTTCGGATCCGTCCGCAAGGCCCCATCACCGATTATGAATCCCAAATATCGCAAGTATTTAAAACAAAATTTTGACTTGTGTAGGCCGATCGTCAAATTTGCTTTTTTTAAACATTCTGCCACTTCTTTCAGCAACATGCAGTGTTCTTCGAAAGTCTTGGATATCATCAGCAAGTCATCCAAGTATACAAAGACGCGGCTGCGAAGACGCTGTGGAATCACCTTGTCCATTACCCTACACAACCTTTGAGCCGAATTACATAATCCGAATGGCATTCGTCGAAACTGATAAAGTGGCCTTCCAGGTATTGTGAAAGCGGTCAAGGGACGACTTTTACTCATCGAGTTCCACTTGCCAGAGCGCATGTTTCAAATCGATACTGCTAATGAAAATCGTCTCATCCGCCCGGCTTAAAATCGACTCAATGTTCTGTAGTGGGTAAGCATCCTTCACTGTAAGTGTGTTCAGTTTTCTCGCGTCTAAGCACAGCCTGTTCTTTCCAGGTTTCTGTACCAGCGTCGTTCGGTTGTTCCAGGGACTTTCACTTAACTCGATGACTCCTAACCGTAGCATTTTATCGACTTCTGCGAACAGCAGTTGTTGTTTCGCCGGAGACACGGGAAAGAATCTCTCCTTGACGGGTACGGCTCCTTCAACTAACTGGATCGAGTGTTCTTCTACCTTGGTAAGTTTTAATCCTTGACTTTCGTAGGACAGAAAACGTCCTTTTGCTTTTTCCAGTTGCTCAGTCTGTCCGGGGGATAGGACATGTGCCTCTATCGGTTCTCCTTTGGCCATGAATTCGGATTCCACCTAATGTAAGAATTCTACACCCACCACCTCTGGTGCCAATTCGAATCTTCTCCAGAAATCTATACCTAGGTATAATTTTTGTTTCAAGGAAGGACAAAGGAGTATCGGCAATCGATGTGTTACCCCATTATACGAGATGTTGGGTTGAATCTTCCCCACTCCCCGATGCTGCGTACCTCCTGCTGATTTCATTATCGATTGTGATCTCTCTATTATCAGTCCTAACCTTTCCACTGTTTCTAGGCAACCTTCCCCAAGCAAGCTTACTGATGCCCCGGAATCCAAGAGACCCACGACGTCCAGGTCTTCGATCTTTACCTGTGCGAATGGTCTGTTGTCGCCTTCCACCGCAGCTCTGATGGCCGAACAAATCATCCTTCTTTCTGCCTTTCGCTGCTGACTTCTCCTCCGGGCTCTTGCAATTTTGGCGAAATGTTCCGGTCCGGATCATGTTTCCCAAATATTCGGTTCCTGACCTCTTGGTAATGTGCTTCCCGGACTGCTATAGGTTCACGTTTCGACCATTTAATGGTATGTACTGGTTTATTTATATTTATCAGTATCTTACTAATTTTATTCTCCTTAAAGCTATCCTTATCATTGGGCATGCAATTTGACGAGGTTTATTTATATTTATCAGTATCTTACTAATTTTATTCTCCTTAAAGCTATCCTTATCATTGGGCATGCAATTTGACGAGGCTTTCACTTGTTCGTAGCAAACGGATTGGAGCGTGGTTCCTCGTTCTTGCCCAAGCTCCTCACAACGTTTCCCGTTTGGCATCGAGTACATCTTGGAGTCCTCACACCGGGTAGTCCACACTTGAAACAGAACACCTTTAACACCTCCGATTCACACGCGTTGAATGGGTGTCCCACGGATCCACAATTCCAGCATGTAAGTGGCTGTCGTTCCCTGTTGTTCTCCCAGTGTCTAGCTAATGCCTCCACTTCCTCTTGTTCTCCAGGTAAACTCTCTTCTCCGATTGATTCTGGACAAAGCTCATCGATCCTCGGTGAGTTTCGAGGTTGCTTAGATGTCGGGTACATCGAGTCGCCAATATTCCCTCCGCATCGTGGCATTCATGTCGGAGTTGATCCATGTTAGTGATGTATATCGGGTATATAATTCTCGAAATCTGATCCCTAATGTTCATTTTTATCACTTTTATCAGGTCGAAGTCGGAAAACGGCGTCTCTAGTCAAGATCTGAGCGCTAGCATGGTCTGGATGTACGCCTCGGTGGTTTCTCCTGGCTTTTGCTTCCGTTCTCGCAGCTCATACTCTCGCTCGAAGTTGGATCGGTGACTCTGAAACTGCTGTTGCAGCGCGTACCTCAGGTTAGTCCACTCTTGCTTCTCCGTCGACCTCACGTACATCCAGTACCACTCCTTGCCTTGTCCTTCCACTAATACGTGAAATTCTCTTAGGACCTCCTTCCACGGCACCTGATACGACCTTTGGAGATGTTCGAGGCGGAATATAAATTCTGACAAGGGCATACTTCTGGGCCTTCCATCGAAACTGAGCCCCCACTTCCGCAGCTGGCCGACTTTAAACGCAGAATCGCCTGCTGCACCGCTTGACCGACGCTGATCTGGTCCTGGATTGAAGTTGTACTGTGTCCCACCGTTTCCAGGAGGATGTTCTGGGGGCGTCGTGTGAGACCCATTCCACCTTCTTGGTTCCTGCTCCGTCGACCAGGCGGTTTGCCGATACCCTTCCGATGCGTGACGATTCATCTCCTGCTTCTCCTGCGCCCCAGATGTTGGCGGCGGGAATCCCATATAGGAACGTACCCCTGGCAGTGTGATTGGCGGAGGTGGTTGTAACATCCTCGGGTCGAATGTTGGCATCTGACTCGGTTTCGCCCGCGGCTGCTCTGCAATGCCTTGAGGTGGCGGCATCGGCGTCCCCGAAGAGGGTATTTGGCCCTGTCCAACTTGTTGTCCTTGGGCCTGGCGAACCTGCGACATCTCTGCGCCACTCCGCCATGCAGTCATTAATGTCCTTCATGAACTGCAACATATCCTGCTGCATCTGCTGTTTGAACATTTCGTATGCCGTCGACATTCCCACCTGGTACGTATGTTGTGCTTGAACCAGTGCTGCGTTAACCCCTGACTTTATTTCAGATGGCAAAGACTTTGGTATGGCCCCGGTTCCGCCTGCCGACTGAAGACCACTCGCTTCTCCTGGACTTCCGCTTCCCATTCCTTCAGGATTCTGCTCCCTTACCGACTCCATGCCTTCGGGTGCCGATATGTTCTCCAATTTCTCCTCTTGATTCGCTTGTGAGCGAGTTACTGGCGGAGTCATACCTGCTGGTACCCTATTCCGGATGAACTCCAAGCTCCTCCTCAATTTTCTATATATATCCTAATTTCTTTCTTATGTATATTTGTTTTTCATATCTCTTTCTACAAATTCTGGGGGTATGGGACGTAGCTATTTACATTACCCACTAACTTTTCTCTCCTTTCCTTCAGTTCCTAATCCGTTCGTGTCAATTTTTTATAATTATTTAAACGATTTTACTAATTTACGTGATCTTTATCTTTCAGCCTCGACTTAAAATTTGCTGGGCAACGATGTCACACTTTATTCCAGTGTACATGGACCACACCAACTCCAAGCATAGACAATAAATTTAGATAAGTTATTACAAATTTACTTTACCACAGACAACATATTAAAAAGACAGTTGTTTTCTATTTCTTTCACATACTGATGTACCTCCTAGCCTGGCTTCGCATGTCCCGCCTTTACTCGGTCATGGGTCCACTTGTAGACGGTCTCCTCTCTCTCAGCAAGGATTGTGCTCAGCAGAAAGGACATTTCGGAATATCATTCACTGTGGCTACGATGGGTTCGACCCTCTAAGCCCGCCCACGGTCCAAAAAGCTGGTTTCCGATGTCGTTTTCTGTTGCCACATTCCCTGGTGAGTATTTACATTTTATGTTATGCTTGAAATATTTTACTTTTATTGATTCCATTTCATTAATTTTTTATATTTTCATTGGGCGCCATTTGTCATGTCCTGTTTTTCGCGCAGTGTAGGTGCCGGCTAGTCATCGACCGTCCCAGGGAGGGGAACAACCAACAATGTTGTCTACGCAGCGGACACAACAAAAACAAAACGGAAATTCAAACTCGGGCGACAGCAATTTCACGACGGATTTTTCTTGAACAAATGGACTGGACAACACAGCTCTTATCGTGGTCCTGGAGTCCCTCCCAACCATGAGTGCATCCTTCAACATTTTGGACACATCTCCCAAATCTGTTTTGTGGGTCATGCTACCTCGCCTAACTCATCTCACCCCCAACACGAATTTTTATTCACAGCACTTCATTATGTTTTCACATTATAATTCAGAAATTTCACTTAAATTTTAACATTTAATAATCCTACCTACGGTACCGATCTTTTACAGGGAGTACATATATATATGAATAAATAAATAAATAACAATAAACAATGTTCCAATAGTTTTGGGTTTGTGTGAATAAATAGGTTAAATAAATAAATAATTTAAATATATATAAGTATGAATAAATTAGTTTGGGCGGGTTACATAATCTGAGATATCAGTCTCAATTTTTATATTTTAACTTTCGGCTTGCTGACTTGGTTTGTCGTTTGCAGTTTTCGGGAACAAGTTTTATTTTTCTGTGGCAAATATAATTTTAAGGGGCGAATAAAAACCTGTGGCCATCCGTGGATGAGTGGCCAATTTTCTTGTCGAAAATTTGGATCTCCTCCTGGTGGCTGGTCTTCGTCTCTCCTTATGTAAGTCTCTTTTCCTGATCCAGGCTTATCCCTCACGGAATATACGGTAGGAACTTGACTTCTGCTAATATTATAATTTTTTTCCAACAGAACCGTCTGCGACCAGTTACTTTTGCCCTTTAATCACCCTTGCTTGTTTTACTTTTCCAAGCCTCTCTTCGCCAAAAACCACTCAAACTTTTCGAGTTTAAACCTTGGTTCATTTTGGAGTTATCCGGTTTAAGGAACCAGTTCCATGTCTTGATTAAGCTGCACGACTCCCTGAGCTCACGAGTCGTCGATAGTCGTGTATCGATTTTTCGCCTATCGTTATCAGTCTTAATGTAAACATCTTTGCTAAATTCCCAATTTGTGCATAGTTTTGTCGTTTAGCACATAACAAGCACACTACGGTTGCGATGCTCGTCTCGGAACAGGAGTGGAGGATGTGCGTGTGCTGCTGGTTGTTCTGCTCAAGGTAGGCCACCGCCCACAACCCTGAGATTAATGCTTGGTGAGTGTGATTTGCTAGCCGGGCACTATTGTTTCAGATCCTTTGCATGGAAAACTCCCAAAGGATTGCCGCGCAAGTTTTCCAAAGCGTACAAAGAGTTTCCCAACGCTTTTGTGACTCGACATTTAGTATACTTTCTGCAAAATTTAGAATTCTTATTCTTGCTGAAGTCACTTAGGACAAAGTTTCTCTTAAATATTTCTTGTCCCGGTGAGTATCGGATCTCTCGGGCCTTTAAATTGTCACTATTCGCTGCTTTCTCGTAGGCCTGATGTATCCTTTTTTTTTCTCTGGATAGCTGTTGTCGTTCCGACCTGGGCAATTGAACTATCTCAGCTTCATTCAGGGCATTCAACTTGCGAACCAGCGAGTAATATTTCCCATTCGTAAATATGTGCTGTCCGAACATGGCAAAGTACGGCGAAGTTCCGGTGCTGCTATGGATGGATGACCTCAGCGACGCTTGTATGTCCGCTAAGTGTTCATCCCATCGCGTGTGGTCGTCCTGGATGTTTACTCGAATTGCTGCTAACACGGATTGGTTTACTTTCTCCGAAGGATTGGATTGTGGTGCGTATCACCCTGTCTTCATGTGTGTAATCCCATATTCTTGTAGCATGTTCTCGAATTCCTTGGAGACAAATTGTCTTCCGTTGTCCGTTTGGACTGTTTCCGGAACTCCGAATTGTGTGAATATTCCTTCTTGTAGGAATCGGGTTACAGCTGTCGATGTGGCCTTCGGCATGGCTTTTAGCCACACAAACTTGGTCAAGTGATCCAACGCGATAAATAGCATGGTATTTCCTCGGCGAGACCGCGGATACTTTCCTAAGAAATCCAGGTACAACTTTTGAATGGGTCGATCTGTCCGTACTTCCTTCCCCATCACTGGTCGCTTTATCTGCGTTGTGTGCTTGTTCTCTTTGCAGTTTTCGCTTGCTGCTACAAAGTCTCGGACTTGAACTACCATTTTGGGCCAGTAATACATCTGCTGAAGTCTCGCTAAGGTCTTCGCCATGCCCCTATGCATTGCCATGTCGCCGCTTGCTGGATTAGAGTTGTCGTCAACGCTTCCGGAATCCACAGTTTCCATTCAAATTCCTCACTTTCCTTCCTATTGAAGTGTGTCTTCTTGAATAGAACTCCTTCTTCCACACGTAAGTCCGGATATTTATCTCTTCCTTGCTCTTCAACCAACTGCAGTCTTTCCAGGTATTCAGGACTCTCAAATTCCGTTGTTTCAAAATCGAAGAACTCTACTTCGGCGGTTTCATTCGGCCGAGATAGCATGTTGGCCACGATGTTGTTGTTTGTGCCTAACCGAAGTAGACACTTCCGGGTCACACCGCGGGACAAGGGGGTAATGAGCACTTGTCGCTGGCACGGGGACGTTTTGATGGCAGGACGATCGCGTCGCGGCAATGGTAACGATGGTTACTACGATGCCGGACCACAGGCGATGCTAGAGCTGCGCTGAGGGTGAGCTAACGTGGTTAGCTGTTAGTTGAGATAGTGTATTACGAGCCCTATTCCCAGATGTAGGAAGTAGAACCGCGGAGTTAAGAGGTGTGTTGATAACTGATTTATTCTTCATTTGGTACATGTTTATATACTACTTGGAAGACGAAAGTTTAGTGTAATGATTAGTCCTGTGCGCTATATTCTAAAGTAGGTAGGTAGGTCAGGGAGTTTTGATTATGGTAGCAGTTTGTGTAGATGGCTCGGCAGACACTGCAGAATGTGCTGACTGCATTGGCCGGTCAGTGTGCCGTTGAGTCGGTGAGTTAGTGAGACATATAATATGCTGATCAGCCATTCTCATATGCAGTGGGTGCTACTGAGCGCCTGGTACTGTTCCCAACTTGGCTACTGCTTGATTTGTTGGGTGTGGTCATGTTGAGTACCTTTGGGTACGAACATTCTCCCCCCCATTGAGGGGTACCCTCAATTAAGTCGTGATGTCGGTCAGCCCTTGACCGAATTGTATAGGAAGCACCTAACAAATCATTGACCAAGGTGGATCATTCCTTCAACTGCGGTTTGTGATTCAGGTCCTTCACATCTTCTTGATGCTGCTTAACACTCTCCTTTGCGATAAAATTGACATTACCGTGGGGACTGAAATTGTGCTCTCGTAGAACTTGATCATTTGGCACGTCTATGGTATGTGGACATTCTGCAATAAAACTAAGATATTTCTTGGTTAGGTTTGGACATGTTGAACCAAAGTCAGCCTTCTTGTCGGTTTTGAATTGATGAGAAGTCGGTTCTATATTCATCGGATTTTTATCTTTTGTTGACCCATAAGCAGCGTTCGGTCCTGCAAAATCACCTCTGCCCTCTACCAGAATAGGGTTGATTTCCGTATCAGATGAGGTTTCTTTATTGAGATAACCTATGATTACATAACCAAGCCTAGTGCCTTGTGCCAAAGGTTTATTAGGTCCTAGTTCAAGAAGTTCACCGGTTATTACACGAGAATACACCTCAGACCCTAAGGTTAGGTCAATGGGTCCAGGTTGCCGAAAGTCAGGATCTGCTAATGGCAGTCCCCCGGGAATATTAAGATCGTTATCAATCGATACTGACGGTTGGTCTGGAATGACTGTGGGAATAATATATACCTCTATTAGTCTTTCAAACCCTGATGTAACTGATGAGAGCTATAGTGTTGATCTAATTGCTGTTGATATTTTTCCTCCGATTCCAGATATTTCAATCGGTGACCTTTCCTTAAGAGATAGCAGATCTGCCATTCTCCTTGAGATAAGATTCACCTGTGATCCACCATCTATTACAGCGCGACATGTTTGTAATTGACCGTTTGGCCCTTGTAATGAGACCTTGGCGGTCGCGAGCAGAGTATATCCTCCTACGTCGTCGTAGCTTGCAATGGTTACTGCGCCGGCCACTGGATTGCTAGTCGGTCCTTGGTGTAACAGTGAATGATGCCGTCGCTGGCAGACTCCACAAGCGGTCGGTGATCCACAGTTTTCAACCTTATGAGCTGTAGACAAACAATTTGTGCATGCTCCTACTTGAATAATGGCTTGGCGCCGTGCTTTGGGGTCCATTTGCTGGATCCGGCTACATGCTCTAAGATTATGTTGTCCTAGGTGACAAATCTTACAGCTCTCTTCGTTGTGAACTGACTGATGGCGGAGTGTTGCTGTCGGTTGAGCGCTTATCGTCTCCAGCATGCAAGCGCGCCGCTCAATAAACGTCAGTACACTCCATAACGTTGGAATTTCCGTTGGTGCATCCGCTGAATTTTCTAGAGCAGTTAGAGACTGCTGGTCTAGTTTTCTTCTGATAAGAAAACACAGGATTGGATCCCAGGATTTTGTGCTGATATCGAGGTTTTGAAGAGTACTCATTGAGTTTTTTATAGTGTCATGTAATGCCCTTAGTTTGCGCGAGGAACCGTCTATAGGCGTATGGTCAATAATTTTTGCTATGGCGGCGAATACTAGTATTTTGCCGTTCTGGTACCTGGCCTTCAACCGCAACCAGGTGTCGTCATAGCCACCCTGTGAGAAGGCTGTGTCTGTCAAGACGTTCCTCGCTTCACCACGAAGCGAACTCTGTAGAATATGTAGTTTTTGACTGGCCGAATATGGTTTGTTATGTACCAATTCCACAAAGAGATCATGGAACCGTGGCCAGTCTAGATACTCGCCGTTGAACTCCGGAATGCTAATTGGCGGAAGTGCCAAGTTTAGGCTCATTGGCGCGTCGTTTTCTCGTAGCAGGCTCATTTCGTATTCCTCGTATAATGTGTGGAATTGGGCTAGCTCTGCTTCTGCCAGAGCTGCGGCCCCAGGTGTGCTATCCAATTCGTCGTGGGCTTGCCTCAGTAACGCCCAATGGAGATCCAGGTGCCTTTGTAAGGCTGGGGTGACAGTTGGGGCGTTCGAGGCTAATGTTAATGATGACTCCAATTCGTTGCATCTTCTCTGCAACTGTCGGATCACCGTGTCAATTGCGGAATCTCCTTTGACTTGATCTTTTGTTGTGAGCTTGATGTTGGCCGAAGTTCGTCTGGGGGCCTTCGGAAGCCCGCTTCCAGTCGGCATGTTGTCCAGAAAGATATTCAGATATTTTTCGACCAGCTCTTTAAGTGCTACTAGTCGTGAAGAGTATTCACTTCCAGTGGGTAGTGCCGCTTGCTGGACTTCTTCATCTAGGTCGCAAAACTGCCGCCAGAGATCGTTTAACTGATTTAGCTTACCAGAATAGTAGCCGTCTCGGTGGCGTCGGTCGGCAGAATCCTTGCCATAATTCTTAATGAGCTGTTGGATTTTCCCTTGCAGTTCGTTTTGTGTGTCTAGTAATCGATTGTGTAAGTCGATTCTTGTGTGACTTGTTTCCTCAATGAATGAAGTAGACATATTGTGTGTCTTGGAAACAAAGAATCTTGTGAAGCTGGATGAAGCTGAGTATCCTGTGAAGCTGGAATAAAGCTGAAGTTCCTGTGACGCTGGAAGAAGAAGCGTATCCTGTGAAGCTGGATTAAGCTGAAGTTCCTGTGACGCTGGAAGACGAAGCGTATCCTGTGAAGCTGGATTAAGCTGAAGTTCCTGTGACGCTGGAAGACGAAGCGTATCCTGTGAAGCTGGATTAAGCTGAAGTTCCTGTGACGCTGGAAGAAGAAGCGGATCCTGTGAAGCTAGATGAAGCTGAAGTTCCTGTGACGCTGGAAGAAGAAGCGAATCCTGTGAAGCTGGAATAAAGCTGAACTTCCTGTGACGCTGGAAGAAGAAGCGTATCCTGTGAAGCTGGATTAAGCTGAAGTTCCGGTGACGCTGGAAGACGAAGCGTATCCTGTGAAGCTGGATTAAGCTGAAGTTCCTGTGACGCTGGAAGAAGAAGCGGATCCTGTGAAGTTGGATAAAGCTGTGAGTCCTTTTGTGGGAAGGGGGTTGCTTGAGTGTGATCCTTTGTTGTTAAAGGATCACGTCGGGGTCACCAATGTTTGTGCCTAACCGAAGTAGACACTTCCGGGTCACACCGCGGGACAAGGGGGTAATGAGCACTTGTCGCTGGCACGGGGACGTTTTGATGGCAGGAAGATCGCGTCGCGGCAATGGTAACGATGGTTACTACGGTGCCGGACCACAGGCGATGCTAGAGCTGCGCTGAGGGTGAGCTAACGTGGTTAGCTGTTAGTTGAGATAGTGTATTACGAGCGCTATTCCCAGATGTAGGAAGTAGAACCGCGGAGTTAAGAGGTGTGTTGATAACTGATTTATTCTTCATTTGGTACATGTTTATATACTACTTGGAAGACGAAAGTTTAGTGTAATGATTAGTGAAGTGCGCTATATTCTAAAGTAGGTAGGTAGGTCAGGGAGTTTTGATTATGGTAGCAGTTTGTGTAGTTGGCTCGGCAGACACTGCAGAATGTGCTGACTGCATTGGCCGGTCAGTGTGCCGTTGAGTCGGTGAGACGGTGAGTTAGTGAGACATATAATATGCTGATCAGCCATTCTCATATGCAGTGGGTGCTACTGAGCGCCGGGTACTGTTCCCATCTTGGCTACTGCTTGATTTGTTGGGTGTGGTCATGTTGAGTACCTTTGGGTACGAACAGTTGTCTTTCCCTTTCCTATGCTCTATGTTAAAGTCGAGTGCCTGTAGCGCTAACGACCACCGCGCCAGCCTCCCGTTCAAATCCTTAAGCGTCATAAGCCATTGCAGGCTTGCATGGTCGGTAACTATCGTGAACGGTTTTAACTCCACATAGGGACGGAATCTTTCCACGGCTTTTACTGCTGCGAGACACTCTTTTTCCTCTCAGCTTCGCCGAAAAGAATGCTATTGGCCGGTCCGATCCTTCTACGTCTTGCTGGTATAATACTGCCCCAATTCCTACATGGCTGGCGTCACACTGTATCCAGAAGTGTTTTCCAAAGTCTGGATGAGCTAATACCGGCGCACAGGTAAGTGCTTTCTTCAGCGTTTCGAGTGCCGTAGTTGCTTCCTCCGTCCACATAAATTTTGTTTTATTTTTAAGGCAGTCAGTGAGCGGCGCACTTACACCGGAGAAATTTTGGATGAATGTGCGATACCAGCCTGCGGTTCCTAAGAAGCTGCGTAGTTGTCGCGTATTTTTGGGCACCTCTATCTTCATAATCGCCTCAACTTTCTTCGGATCCGTCCGCAAGGCCCCATCACCGATTATGAATCCCAAATATCGCAAGTATTTAAAACAAAATTTTGACTTGTGTAGGCCGATCGTCAAATTTGCTTTTTTTAAACATTCTGCCACTTCTTTCAGCAACATGCAGTGTTCTTCGAAAGTCTTGGATATCATCAGCAAGTCATCCAAGTATACAAAGACGCGGCTGCGAAGACGCTGTGGAATCACCTTGTCCATTACCCTACACAACCTTTGAGCCGAATTACATAATCCGAATGGCATTCGTCGAAACTGATAAAGTGGCCTTCCAGGTATTGTGAAAGCGGTCAAGGGACGACTTTTACTCATCGAGTTCCACTTGCCAGAGCGCATGTTTCAAATCGATACTGCTAATGAAAATCGTCTCATCCGCCCGGCTTAAAATCGACTCAATGTTCTGTAGTGGGTAAGCATCCTTCACTGTAAGTGTGTTCAGTTTTCTCGCGTCTAAGCACAGCCTGTTCTTTCCAGGTTTCTGTACCAGCGTCGTTCGGTTGTTCCAGGGACTTTCACTTAACTCGATGACTCCTAACCGTAGCATTTTATCGACTTCTGCGAACAGCAGTTGTTGTTTCGCCGGAGACACGGGAAAGAATCTCTCCTTGACGGGTACGGCTCCTTCAACTAACTGGATCGAGTGTTCTTCTACCTTGGTAAGTTTTAATCCTTGACTTTCGTAGGACAGAAAACGTCCTTTTGCTTTTTCCAGTTGCTCAGTCTGTCCGGGGGATAGGACATGTGCCTCTATCGGTTCTCCTTTGGCCATAAATTCGGATTCCACCTAATGTAAGAATTCTACACCCACCACCTCTGGTGCCAATTCGAATCTTCTCCAGAAATCTATACCTAGGTATAATTTTTGTTTCAAGGAAGGACAAAGGAGTATCGGCAATCGATGTGTTACCCCATTATACGAGATGTTGGGTTGAATCTTCCCCACTACCCGATGCTGCGTACCTCCTGCTGATTTCATTATCGATTGTGATCTCTCTATTATCAGTCCTAACCTTTCCACTGTTTCTAGGCAACCTTCCCCAAGCAAGCTTACTGATGCCCCGGAATCCAAGAGACCCACGACGTCCAGGTCTTCGATCTTTACCTGTGCGAATGGTCTGTTGTCGCCTTCCACCGCAGCTCTGATGGCCGAACAAATCATCCTTCTTTCTGCCTTTCGCTGCTGACTTCTCCTCCGGGCTCTTGCAATTTTTGGCGAAATGTTCCGGTCCGGATCATGTTTCCCAAATATTCGGTTCCTGACCTCTTGGTAATGTGCTTCCCGGACTGCTATAGGTTCACGTTTCGACCATTTAATGGTATGTACTGGTTTATTTATATTTATCAGTATCTTACTAATTTTATTCTCCTTAAAGCTATCCTTATCATTAGGCATGCAATTTGACGAGGCTTTCACTTGTTCGTAGCAAACGGATTGGAGCGTGGTTCCTCGTTCTTGCCCAAGCTCCTCACAACGTTTCCCGTTTGGCATCGAGTACATCTTGGAGTCCTCACACCGGGTAGTCCACACTTGAAACAGAACACCTTTAACACCTCCGATTCACACGCGTTGAATGGGTGTCCCACGGATCCACAATTCCAGCATGTAAGTGGCTGTCGTTCCCTGTTGTTCTCCTAGTGTCTAGCTAATGCCTCCACTTCCTCTTGTTCTCCAGGTAAACTCTCTTCTCCGACTGATTCTGGACAAAGGTCATCGATCCTCGGTGAGTTTCGAGGTTGCTTAGATGTCGGGTACATCGAGTCGCCAATATTCCCTCCGCATCGTGGCATTCATGTCGGAGTTGATCCATGTTAGTGATGTATATCGGGTATATAATTCTCGAAATCTGATCCCTAATGTTCATTTTTATCACTTTTATCAGGTCGAAGTCGGAAAACGGCGTCTCTAGTCAAGATCTGAGCGCTAGCATGGTCTGGATGTACGCCTCGGTGGTTTCTCCTGGCTTTTGCTTCCGTTCTCGCAGCTCATACTCTCGCTCGAAGTTGGATCGGTGACTCTGAAACTGCTGTTGCAGCGCGTACCTCAGGTTAGTCCACTCTTGCTTCTCCGTCGACCTCACGTACATCCAGTACCACTCCTTGCCTTGTCCTTCCACTAATACGTGAAATTCTCTTAGGACCTCCTTCCACGGCACCTGATACGACCTTTGGAGATGTTCGAGGCGGAATATAAATTCTGACAAGGGCATACTTCTGGGCCTTCCATCGAAACTGAGCTCCCACTTCCGCAGCTGGCCGACTTTAAACGCAGAATCGCCTGCTACACCGCTTGACCGACGCTGATCTGGTCCTGGATTGAAGTTGTACTGTGTCCCACCGTTTCCAGGAGGATGTTCTGGGGGCGTCGTGTGAGACCCATTCCACCTTCTTGGTTCCTGCTCCGTCGACCAGGCGGTTTGCCGATACCCTTCCGATGCGTGACGATTCATCTCCTGCTTCTCCTGCGCCCCAGATGTTGGCGGCGGGAATCCCATATAGGAACGTACCCCTGGCAGTGTGATTGGCGGAGGTGGTTGTAACATCCTCGGGTCGAATGTTGGCATCTGACTCGGTTTCGCCCGCGGCTGCTCTGCAATGCCTTGAGGTGGCGGCATCGGCGTCCCCGAAGAGGGTATTTGGCCCTGTCCAACTTGTTGTCCTTGGGCCTGGCGAACCTGCGACATCTCTGCGCCACTCCGCCATGCAGTCATTAATGTCCTTCATGAACTGCAACATATCCTGCTGCATCTGCTGTTTGAACATTTCGTATGCCGTCGACATTCCCACCTGGTACGTATGTTGTGCTTGAACCAGTGCTGCTTTAACCCCTGACTTTATTTCAGATGGCAAAGACTTTGGTATGGCCCCGGTTCCGCCTGCCGACTGAAGACCACTCGCTTCTCCTGGACTTCCGCTTCCCATTCCTTCAGGATTCTGCTCCCTTACCGACTCCATGCCTTCGGGTGCCGATATGTTCTCCAATTTCTCCTCTTGATTCGCTTGTGAGCGAGTTACTGGCGGAGTCATACCTGCTGGTACCCTATTCCGGATGAACTCCAAGCTCCTCCTCAATTTTCTATATATATCCTAATTTCTTTCTTATGTATATTTGTTTTTCATATCTCTTTCTACAAATTCTGGGGGTATGGGACGTAGCTATTTACATTACCCACTAACTTTTCTCTCCTTTCCTTCAGTTCCTAATCCGTTCGTGTCAATTTTTTATAATTATTTAAACGATTTTACTAATTTACGTGATCTTTATCTTTCAGCCTCGACTTAAAATTTGCTGGGCAACGATGTCACACTTTATTCCAGTGTACATGGACCACACCAACTCCAAGCATAGACAATAAATTTAGATAAGTTATTACAAATTTACTTTACCACAGACAACATATTAAAAAGACAGTTGTTTTCTATTTCTTTCACATACTGATGTACCTCCTAGCCTGGCTTCGCATGTCCCGCCTTTACTCGGTCATGGGTCCACTTGTAGACGGTCTCCTCTCTCTCAGCAAGGATTGTGCTCAGCAGAAAGGACATTTCGGAATATCATTCACTGTGGCTACGATGGGTTCGACCCTCTAAGCCCGCCCACGGTCCAAAAAGCTGGTTTCCGATGTCGTTTTCTGTTGCCACATTCCCTGGTGAGTATTTACATTTTATGTTATGCTTGAAATATTTTACTTTTATTGATTCCATTTCATTAATTTTTTATATTTTCATTGGGCGCCATTTGTCATGTCCTGTTTTTCGCGCAGTGTAGGTGCCGGCTAGTCATCGACCGTCCCAGGGAGGGGAACAACCAACAATGTTGTCTACGCAGCGGACACAACAAAAACAAAACGGAAATTCAAACTCGGGCGACAGCAATTTCACGACGGATTTTTCTTGAACAAATGGACTGGACAACACAGCTCTTATCGTGGTCCTGGAGTCCCTCCCAACCATGAGTGCATCCTTCAACATTTTGGACACATCTCCCAAATCTGTTTTGTGGGTCATGCTACCTCGCCTAACTCATCTCACCCCCAACACGAATTTTTATTCACAACACTTCATTATGTTTTCACATTATAATTCAGAAATTTCACTTAAATTTTAACATTTAATAATCCTACCTACGGTACCGAACTTTTACAGGGAGTACATATATATATGAATAAATAAATAAATAACAATAAACAATGTTCCAATAGTTTTGGGTTTGTGTGAATAAATAGGTTAAATAAATAAATAATTTAAATATATATAAGTATGAATAAATTAATTTGGGCGGGTTACATAATCTGAGATATCAGTCTCAATTTTTATATTTTAACTTTCGGCTTGCTGACTTGGTTTGTCGTTTGCAGTTTTCGGGAACAAGTTTTATTTTTCTGTGGCAAATATAATTTTAAGGGGCGAATAAAAACCTGTGGCCATCCGTGGATGAGTGGCCAATTTTCTTGTCGAAAATTTGGATCTCCTCCTGGTGGCTGGTCTTCGTCTCTCCTTATGTAAGTCTCTTTTCCTGATCCAGGCTTATCCCTCACGGAATATAGGGTAGGAACTTGACTTCTGCTAATATTATAATTTTTTCCAACAGAACCGTCTGCGACCAGTTACTTTTGCCCTTTAATCACCCTTGCTTGTTTTATTTTTCCAAGCCTCTCTCCGCACAAAAACCACTCAAACTTTTCGAGTTTAAACCTTGGTTCATTTTGGAGTTATCCGGTTTAAGGAACCAGTTCCATGACTTGATTAAGCTGCACGACTCCCTGAGCTCACGAGTCGTCGATAGTCGTGTATCGATTTTTCGCCTATCGTTATCAGTCTTAATGTAAACATATTTGCTAAATTCCCAATTTGTGCATAGTTTTGTCGTTTAGCACATAACAAGCACACTACGGTTGCGATGCTCGTCTCGGAACAGGAGTGGAGGATGTGCGTGTGCTGCTGGTTGTTCTGCTCTAGGTAGGCCACCGCCCACAACCCTGAGATTAAAGCTTGGTGAGTGTGATTTGCTAGCCGGGCACTATTGTTTCAGATCCTTTGCATGGAAAACTCCCAAAGGATTGCCGCGCAAGTTTTCCAAAGCGTACAAAGAGTTTCCCAACGCTTTTGTGACTCGACATTTAGTATACTTTCTGCAAAATTTAGAATTCTTATTCTTGCTGAAGTCACTTAGAACAAAGTTTCTCTTATATATTTCTTGTCCCGGTGAGTATCGAATCTCTCGGGACTTTAAGTTGTCACTCTTCGCTGCTTTCTCGTAGGCCTGATGTATCCTTTTTTTATTTTTTCTCTGGATAGCTGTTGTCGTTCCGACCTGGGCAATTGGGCTATCTCAGCTTCATTCAGGGCATTCAACTTGCGAGCCAGCGAGTAATATTTCCCATTCGTAAATATGTGCTGTCCGAACATGGCGAAGTACGGCGAAGTTCCGGTGCTGCTATGGATGGATGACCTCAGCGACGCTTGTATGTCCGCTAAGTGTTCATCCCATCGCGTGTGGTCGTCCTGGATGTTTACTCGAATTGCTGCTAACACGGATTGGTTTACTTTCTCCGAAGGATTGGATTGTGGTGCGTATCACCCTGTCTTCATGTGTGTAATCCCATATTCTTGTAGCATGTTCTCGAATTCCTTGGAGACAAATTGTCTTCCGTTGTCCGTTTGGACTGTTTCCGGAACTCCGAATTGTGTGAATATTCCTTCTTGTAGGAATCGGGTTACAGCTGTCGATGTGGCCTTCGGCATGGCTTTTAGCCACACAAACTTGGTCAAGTGATCCAACGCGATAAATAGCATGGTATTTCCTCGGCGAGACCGCGGATACTTTCCTAAGAAATCCAGGTACAACTTTTGAATGGGTCGATCTGTCCGTACTTCCTTCCCCATCACTGGTCGCTTTATCTGCGTTGTGTGCTTGTTCTCTTTGCAGTTTTCGCTTGCTGCTACAAAGTCTCGGACTTGAACTACCATTTTGGGCCAGTAATACATCTGCTGAAGTCTCGCTAAGGCAATGCCCCTATGCATTGCCATGTCGCCGCTTGCTGGATTAGAGTTGTCGTCAACGCTTCCGGAATCCACAGTTTCCATTCAAATTCCTCACTTTCCTTCCTATTTAAGTGTGTCTTCTTGAATAGAACTCCTTCTTCCACACGTAAGTCCGGATATTTATCTCTTCCTTGCTCTTCAACCAACTGCAGTCTTTCCAGGTATTCAGGACTCTCAAATTCCGTTGTTTCAAAATCGAAGAACTCTACTTCGGCGGTTTCATTCGGCCGAGATAGCATGTTGGCCACGATGTTGTCTTTCCCTTTCCTATGCTCTATGTTAAAGTCGAGTGCCTGTAGCGCTAACGACCACCGCGCCAGCCTCCCGTTCAAATCCTTAAGCGTCATAAGCCATTGCAGGCTTGCATGGTCGGTAACTATCGTGAACGGTTTTAACTCCACATAGGGACGGAATCTTTCCACGGCTTTTACTGCTGCGAGACACTCTTTTTCCTCTCAGCTTCGCCGAAAAGAATGCTATTGGCCGGTCCGATCCTTCTACGTCTTGCTGGTATAATACTGCCCCAATTCCTACATGGCTGGCGTCACACTGTATCCAGAAGTGTTTTCCAAAGTCTGCATGAGCTAATACCGGCGCACAGGTAAGTGCTTTCTTCAGCGTTTCGAGTGCCGTAGTTGCTTCCTCCGTCCACATAAATTTTGTTTTATTTTTAAGGCAGTCAGTGAGCGGCGCACTTACACCGGAGAAATTTTGGATGAATGTGCGATACCAGCCTGCGGTTCCTAAGAAGCTGCGTAGTTGTCGCGTATTTTTGGGCACCTCTATCTTCATAATCGCATCAACTTTCTTCGGATCCGTCCGCAAGGCCCCATCACCGATTATGAATCCCAAATATCGCAAGTATTTAAAACAAAATTTTGACTTGTGTAGGCCGATCGTCAAATTTGCTTTTTTTAAACATTCTGCCACTTCTTTCAGCAACATGCAGTGTTCTTCGAAAGTCTTGGATATCATCAGCAAGTCATCCAAGTATACAAAGACGCGGCTGCGAAGACGCTGTGGAATCACCTTGTCCATTACCCTACACAACCTTTGAGCCGAATTACATAATCCGAATGGCATTCGTCGAAACTGATAAAGTGGCCTTCCAGGTATTGTGAAAGCGGTCAAGGGACGACTTTTACTCATCGAGTTCCACTTGCCAGAGCGCATGTTTCAAATCGATACTGCTAATGAAAATCGTCTCATCCGCCCGGCTTAAAATCGACTCAATGTTCTGTAGTGGGTAAGCATCCTTCACTGTAAGTGTGTTCAGTTTTCTCGCGTCTAAGCACAGCCTGTTCTTTCCAGGTTTCTGTACCAGCGTCGTTCGGTTGTTCCAGGGACTTTCACTTAACTCGATGACTCCTAACCGTAGCATTTTATCGACTTCTGCGAACAGCAGTTGTTGTTTCGCCGGAGACACGGGAAAGAATCTCTCCTTGACGGGTACGGCTCCTTCAACTAACTGGATCGAGTGTTCTTCTACCTTGGTAAGTTTTAATCCTTGACTTTCGTAGGACAGAAAACGTCCTTTTGCTTTTTCCAGTTGCTCAGTCTGTCCGGGGGATAGGACATGTGCCTCTATCGGTTCTCCTTTGGCCATAAATTCGGATTCCACCTAATGTAAGAATTCTACACCCACCACCTCTGGTGCCAATTCGAATCCTCTCCAGAAATCTATACCTAGGTATAATTTTTGTTTCAAGGAAGGACAAAGGAGTATCGGCAATCGATGTGTTACCCCATTATACGAGATGTTGGGTTGAATCTTCCCCACTACTCGATGCTGCGTACCTCCTGCTGATTTCATTATCGATTGTGATCTCTCTATTATCAGTCCTAACCTTTCCACTGTTTCTAGGCAACCTTCCCCAAGCAAGCTTACTGATGCCCCGGAACCCAAGAGACCCACGACGTCCAGGTCTTCGATCTTTACCTGTGCGAATGGTCTGTTGTCGCCTTCCACCGCAGCTCTGATGGCCGAACAAATCATCGCTGCTGACTTCTCCTCCGGGCTCTTGCAATTTTTGGCGAAATGTTCCGGTCCGGATCATGTTTCCCAAATATTCGGTTGCAGTCCTCACACCGGGTAGTCCACACTTGAAACAGAACACCTTTAACACCTCCGATTCACACGCGTTGAATGGGTGTCCCACGGATCCACAATTAAAGCATGTAAGTGGCTGTCGTTCCCTGTTTTTCTCCCAGTGTCTAGCTAATGCCTCCACTTCCTCTTGTTCTCCAGGTAAACTCTCTTCTCCGACTGATTCTGGACAAAGCTCATCGATCCTCGGTGAGTTTCGAGGTTGCTTAGATGTCGGGTACATCGAGTCGCCAATATTCCCTCCGCATCGTGGCATTCATGTCGGAGTTGATCCATGTTAGTGATGTATATCGGGTATATAATTCTCGAAATCTGATCCCTAATGTTCATTTTTATCACTTTTATCAGGTCGAAGTCGGAAAACGGCGTCTCTAGTCAAGATCTGAGCGCTAGCATGGTCTGGATGTACGCCTCGATGGTTCCTCCTGGCTTTTGCTTCCGTTCTCGCAGCTCATACTCTCGCTCGAAGTTGGATCGGTGACTCTGAAACTGCTGTTGCAGCGCGTACCTCAGGTTAGTCCACTCTTGCTTCTCCGTCGACCTCACGTACATCCAGTACCACTCCTTGCCTTGTCCTTCCACTAATACGTGAAATTCTCTTAGGACCTCCTTCCACGGCACCTGATACGACCTTTGGAGATGTTCGAGGCGGAATATAAATTCTGACAAGGGCATACTTCTGGGCCTTCCATCGAAACTGAGCTCCCACTTCCGCAGCTGGCCGACTTTAAACGCAGAATCGCCTGCTACACCGCTTGACCGACGCTGATCTGGTCCTGGATTGAAGTTGTACTGTGTCCCACCGTTTCCAGGAGGATGTTCTGGGGGCGTCGTGTGAGACCCATTCCACCTTCTTGGTTCCTGCTCCGTCGACCAGGCGGTTTGCCGATACCCTTCCGATGCGTGACGATTCATCTCCTGCTTCTCCTGCGCCCCAGATGTTGGCGGCGGGAATCCCATATAGGAACGTACCCCTGGCAGTGTGATTGGCGGAGGTGGTTGTAACATCCTCGGGTCGAATGTTGGCATCTGACTCGGTTTCGCCCGCGGCTGCTCTGCAATGCCTTGAGGTGGCGGCATCGGCGTCCCCGAAGAGGGTATTTGGCCCTGTCCAACTTGTTGTCCTTGGGCCTGGCGAACCTGCGACATCTCTGCGCCACTCCGCCATGCAGTCATTAATGTCCTTCATGAACTGCAACATATCCTGCTGCATCTGCTGTTTGAACATTTCGTATGCCGTCGACATTCCCACCTGGTACGTATGTTGTGCTTGAACCAGTGCTGCGTTAACCCCTGACTTTATTTCAGATGGCAAAGACTTTGGTATGGCCCCGGTTCCGCCTGCCGACTGAAGACCACTCGCTTCTCCTGGACTTCCGCTTCCCATTCCTTCAGGATTCTGCTCCCTTACCGACTCCATGCCTTCGGGTGCCGATATGTTCTCCAATTTCTCCTCTTGATTCGCTTGTGAGCGAGTTACTGGCGGAGTCATACCTGCTGGTACCCTATTCCGGATGAACTCCAAGCTCCTCCTCAATTTTCTATATATATCCTAATTTCTTTCTTATGTATATTTGTTTTTCATATCTCTTTCTACAAATTCTGGGGGTATGGGACGTAGCTATTTACATTACCCACTAACTTTTCTCTCCTTTCCTTCAGTTCCTAATCCGTTCGTGTCAATTTTTTATAATTATTTAAACGATTTTACTAATTTACGTGATCTTTATCTTTCAGCCTCGACTTAAAATTTGCTGGGCAACGATGTCACACTTTATTCCAGTGTACATGGACCACACCAACTCCAAGCATAGACAATAAATTTAGATAAGTTATTACAAATTTACTTTACCACAGACAACATATTAAAAAGACAGTTGTTTTCTATTTCTTTCACATAATGATGTACCTCCTAGCCTGGCTTCGCATGTCCCGCCTTTACTCGGTCATGGGTCCACTTGTAGACGGTCTCCTCTCTCTCAGCAAGGATTGTGCTCAACAGAAAGGACATTTCGGAATATCATTCACTGTGGCTACGATGGGTTCGACCCTCTAAGCCCGCCCACGGTCCAAAAAGCTGGTTTCCGATGTCGTTTTCTGTTGCCACATTCCCTGGTGAGTATTTACATTTTATGTTATGCTTGAAATATTTTACTTTTATTGATTCCATTTCATTAATTTTTTATATTTTCATTGGGCGCCATTTGTCATGTCCTGTTTTTCGCGCAGTGTAGGTGCCGGCTAGTCATCGACCGTCCCAGGGAGGGGAACAACCAACAATGTTGTCTACGCAGCGGACACAACAAAAACAGAACGGAAATTCAAACTCGGGCGACAGCAATTTCACGACGGATTTTTCTTGAACAAATGGACTGGACAACACAGCTCTTATCGTGGTCCTGGAGTCCCTCCCAACCATGAGTGCATCCTTCAACATTTTGGACACATCTCCCAAATCTGTTTTGTGGGTCATGCTACCTCGCCTAACTCATCTCACCCCCAACACGAATTTTTATTCACAACACTTCATTATGTTTTCACATTATAATTCAGAAATTTCACTTAAATTTTAACATTTAATAATCCTACCTACGGTACCGAACTTTTACAGGGAGTACATATATATATGAATAAATAAATAAATAACAATAAACAATGTTCCAATAGTTTTGGGTTTGTGTGAATAAATAGGTTAAATAAATAAATAAATAATTTAAATATATATAAGTATGAATAAATTAGTTTGGGCGGTTTACATAATCTGAGATATCAGTCTCAATTTTTATATTTTAACTTTCGGCTTGCTGACTTGGTTTGTCGTTTGCAGTTTTCGGGAACAAGTTTTATTTTCCTGTGGCCATCCGGGGATCAGTGGCCAATTTTCTTGTCGAAAATTTGGATCTCCTCCTGGTGGCTGGTCTTCGACTCTCCTTATGTAAGTCTCTGTTCCTGATCCAGGCTTACCCTCACGGAATATAGGGTAGGAACTTGACTTCTGCTAATATTATAATTTTTTTCCAACAGAACCGTCTGCGACCAGTTACTTTTGCCCTTTAATCACCCTTGCTTGTTTTACTTTTCCAAGCCTCTCTCCGCCAAAAACCACTCAAACTTTTCGAGTTTAAACCTTGGTTCATTTTGAAGTTATCCGGTTTAAGGAACCAGTTCCATGACTTGATTAAGCTGCACGACTCCCTGAGCTCACGAGTCGTCGATAGTCGTGTATCGATTTTTCGCCTATCGTTATCAGTCTTAATGTAAACATCTTTGCTAAATTCCCAATTTGTGCATAGTTTTGTCGTTTAGCACATAACAATATGTTGCAGTGTCAGTACCAGGCGCTCAGTAGCACCCACTGCATATGAGAATTGCTGATCAGCATATTATATGTCTCAGTAACTCACCGTCTCACCGACTCAACGGCACACTGACTGGCTCCAATGCAGTCAGCACATGTTGCAGTTTTAGCCGAGCCAACTGCACCATAATCATAATTCCCTGACCTACTTTAGAATATAGCTTATTTCACTAATCATTACACTAAGCTTCCGCGTTCCAAGTAGTATATAAGCAGGTATCATATGAAGAATAAATCAGTTATCAACACAGCTCATAACTCCGCGGTTCTACTTCCTACCTCTGGGGATAGGGCTCGAAATATGTACACTATTTCAACTAGCAGCTAACCACGTTAGCTCATCCTCAGCGCAGCTCAGCATTGCCTGTGGTCCGGCATCGCAGTAACCATCGTTACCATTGCCGTGACGCGATCGTCCTGCCATCAAAGCGTCCTCGTGCCAGCGACAAGTGCTTATTACCCCCTTGTCACGCGGTGTGACCCAGAAGTGTCTATTCGGTTAGGCACAATCATATTTAGGGTATTCAATTGCGTTGCAAAAGTGTAAACTTTGAAAGTTTGCCAGACGAGAATTGTGAACGCCCTCTATTTTAAAACATCGTTGCAGGATATTGACGTACAAAAGAAAGCTAACTTTTACATTTTTGTGAGAAGAAGGCTATGACCATCGCTTCGATTCGACCTCCCTGGCTCTCTTTCTTGAGGGTTGTTCTTCCATTGAAATTGTTATTCAACTATTTTGTTTAACAGAAGACAAATATTTTTCATTTGCATTTAAAATTCAAATTTGTTTCTTTCCGTTCACTGTCATTGTCATGGATTTAAACCCAACTTTTCAGTATATTTTTGGTGTTTTAGATAAAATTCCTACCCATTATTAACCCCCTATTTCTACACAAGTACAACAGGTTTGCATTGTATATTTTTAGTGTTTTAGATAAAATTCCTACCCATTATTAACCCCTTATTTCTATACAAGTACAAAAGGTTTGTATTGTATTGTATTGTATTGTATTGTATTGTATTGTATTGTATTGTATTGTATTGTATTGTATTGTATTGTATTGTATTGTATTGTATTGTATTGTATTGTATTGTATTGTATTGTATATTGTTGTTGAACGTTGATGCACTAAGAGCAGTACAAACAAGTGGCCCAAACGACACCAAGCACGTGCTTGTTACGCGCGGGCCCATTTTTATTTCGGGCAAATACGGTTCGCGAGGAAGGTACATAGAACAAATAAGACAGTTTTTAGTACAGGGATAGAAGTTGAGGAACAAATTAAATGATATAGGTTGTTATAATATTAGAAAGAACGCGAAAGGGCTCATGCTGACTAAAATTAGATGAGCATCGTGGCAAGTTGATAGGATGGTAGTTTTGCATTAGTCTAACAGGAACATTGAAACTTAGGCGGCTTACCAAATCTACAGAATCAATATCGCCTCTGATAAGATTCTTCATAAAAAGCAAGCATAATTCTACGGCTTACTAGAGTAGGCAAATTAATTAATAGCAATCTACTCGAGTAAGAAGGCAACCTGACGTTTTGATCCCAGTTCAAACCACGTAAGGCAAAAAGAAGAAATTGTTTCTGTACGGACTCTATACGGTCAA